GGTACAGAAGTGTATTTTATGTGTTCATTGTTGCGCGTCATCTGTGTCCTCATGTTTAGCCTGCCGCGGCCATAGGTTGGAGGAGCCGCAACACCAGCTTTTCTGACTTGACCTGACCTTTCTGGACTACACAGCCGGGGCTGAGCAGCCGCCTCCTTCTCAAAAATGCGTGTGCTTTTTTCCAGCTCGCTCCCGGCTTGCAACCAGCACGCTCTGCCGCATCATGTGCCAGAACCTTTTATTTAGAAAAAAAGGGCGCTTGGGGGATCCAAGAGGAAAGAGGCAGGTGCTCAAGCCCCCTCCACCCCCTCTATACGTGCCTGTACAGACTCCACTATGTTATCACTGGTGGTGTGCACAAAGTGTCCACCAATAGCTCATATTTTAAATATCTCACCTCTGACAAAGACCTAAAACGCTGGCTGTCAGCGTGCACACTTCCCAGGTTGGATATCAGCTGGAGGAGAAAGATAAATTGTGGAGTAAGTTTGATGAAGTGGTAGAGAGTGACCACAGTGGTAAGAGAAGGTTGATGGAGGTAGCATAGGATGACAGGTTGATGTATCATGGTGGGGATATGTGTGAGCATGTGGATTCAAGAAAATCAGAAATAAATTCAAACTTGTGCACACAGTCATTAAAGATGTATGCTCTTCCTCCCTAAGAAAAGTTCAGTTGAGAGAAATCATTAAAACTCCAGAAATGACCCTGACATTCAAGGGCACGATGGATGTAAACATCTGTCCACAGCTGTAGGTTATGTAATAACCAAACCCAGTGAGGAAAAGGGGGAAATAAGTAGCTTAACTTAGTTAAGCTACTTAAGTATAAAAGTTGATAATGACACTGGGGCTGCCATATTTTAATACATTCTGCAGTTAACCTTCATTTTCCTTATTCTCAATGACACCTCTGTTCATTTCATCATATTGTTCCTGCCCCCACTGCACCAGTTCTCTAAAATAAACCACTTTGTGATTTATATCAAATAAAACAAAAAGAAGTAGACCATGTGTTTTTACATCTAATATATTTACTTATATTAGTAATCAGACTGTAGTGAACAGGATTTATGTAGGAGGTTGTATATAAAAAAAGAGAAATGACCTATTCTTGAAGTATCTTTATGACTTTGCATGATTGTACTCATATTGTCATCAGTCCAGTCCTTTTTCGTCACTTCAAGTAAGTTCATAGAAGTGTGAGGTTATATTTTTTACAATTTCTGCTGCCCTCTTGGCTAGATCGATCTTGAAAAACACTTAAATGTTAATGACACTTTCTACCCAGATAAATAAAGGATATGTAAAAGTCACTTGTCATTTCTGGCTCTACATTACTTGATATTCTTCATGATATATGATACAGCTATTATAGGACAGATTTGAGGTCAAGTCATTTATAACAGCTTAAATTTCTGCAGTAATTTTTTGGCAAATACCGGGAATCGCAGGTCGCACACTGGCACGGATAAACAGCAGAGGTGCGTCTATTTGTTTTTATAGAAAATTTTTATTCAACATACATTTTCCAGCAAAAAGGCAATATACAGGAATAGTTGTCGTACACTGCTGCTACACTGAGGATTTTAAAGTGGAAAAGATCAAATTAAGGTGTGATTCTGCAGGTCATCTCTGTACTGCACTTCTTAACAAGACAAACCAATGCAGTTAGTTTTTAAAAGAAAAACAATCCAAATGTAACAGAGGGGAAAAACCTGTCAATGGTACATCTCTTTGGAGCTTTGTTGAAATGATCCAACCCTAGCCAGGGGCGCGGGTGGGACATG